GGGATTCTCCTGCCTCAGCCTCCCGAGTAGCTGGGATTACAGACACCCACTACCATGCCCGGCTAATTTTTGTATTTTTAGTAGAGACAGGGTTTTGCCATGTTGGCCGGGCTGTTCTCAAACTCCCGACCTCAGGTGATCTGCCTGCCTTGGCTTCCCAAAGTGCTGCGATTACAGGCATGAGCCATCGCGCCTGGCTGGACTCTGTTTATGGCAGGATCTGGTCCGAGTTTGGACTGAGGGAACGCTAATCCATTTCCTTCCTTCAGTTCTCTGTCAGTGGTTGACACGGTCTTTTGTAAGCCCTACCATGTGGTCCCAGTGCAGAGAGAAAGGGGGCTGGGGGGTTTTGGGCTAACCATCCTTTTCCTGCCTGCCACCTCTTTCTAGGACTGTCCTTGTCTGAGGCCAAGAAGCTCAGCTCCTACTTCCATTTCAGGGAGCCTGTTGAGCTAAAGAATAAGACCTTGCTTGAGAAGGCTGACCTGGACCCCTCCCTGGATTTCATGGACTCCTTGGAGCATGACATTCCCAAAGGTAATAGTCCATTACCTCAAGGCCATGGAATTTGTCCTCAGGCCACAGCAGCAGGCCATGCCACCTGCCATTTTTCTCTGAGACTGGAACCAAGGGCCTAGTGGGAATTGGTGGTTCACCATGGGTTTTTGAGGGTGGGGCTTCCCCAGGGCCCAGTTTATAGTACACACTGATGAATGTTCTTGAATTACAAAAGGTAGGATTGTTTTCCATATGTTTTCACAGAGAGGAGGTATCTCAGTGTCTCTTGATTTTTGTAGCAATCTTGAATGGAGGCAGGTTGGGAATCTTTTCCCAAATATCCCTGAAAATATTAGCCATACTTACATCTCAACTGTTACTTTTGGGAGTCTGGGATTTGGGGACTGGATATAATGCTTGGCACATAGCTGGTGCTGCTGACCCCATTTCCTTCCCTTGAGCATCTCCCGTAGAGAACAACATGTCCTCAGATGCTATAACCCAATTCAGGTGCCAGGCTCTAGGCCATTGGGGGCCAGGCCCAAGGCACAGACTCAGCGCCCCATTTCTTTCTCTTCCCTTGTTGGGTATTCCTGAGAATGAGAAGGATCTAATGATGATGACGGCAATGATAATGACAACAACAACAACTAACTCATGAAACATGACGCGCTTATCGTGTGCCAGGCACCGTACTCAGCTCTTGCCATGCCTTATCTCATTTTAATTTTCACAGCCAGCCTATTATTTTTATCCCCATTTTACAGATGAGGAAACAGGGGCTCAGAGAGTTAAACCCAAGGACACAGTAAGTGTTAAAGTGTTAGAACTCCACAGCTCTGGCATGAACTGGATTGTTAAGTAAACAACAGTTTAAATGACAATAGGAACTACAGGACAATAGTCACCCACACCTCTGGGGGAAACACTTCTGAAGAGCAGTGAACGACCCAACTGGGCGGTATCTCAGGATGGGGATGGTGACGCAAGGTCTGTGGAATCAGACAGGCTGGGTTGGAGTCCTGAATTGGCCCCTTACTAGCTGTGTGACTTCATGCAAATCCCTCCATTTCCCAGTACCTCAGTTTTCTCATTTCTATAAAGGGGAGAATTGATATTTTCTATCTCACTGAGTTTTTATGAGAATTAAATGGACTACTCCTATACCACCCTGAACATGCCTAATCTCTTCTGATCTTGGAAGCTAAGCAGGGTCAGGCCTGGTGAGCATTTGGATGCCAGAATTAAATGAGTAAACTCATGTACAAAATACTTATAACAGTGCCTAATGCACAGTAAGGACTCAAATGAAAATGAACACACCAGCGGGTCCCAGCACTTTGGGAGGCCAAGGTGGGCAGATCACTGGAGGTCAGGAGTTTGAGACCAGCCTGGCCAACATGGCAAAACCCCGTCTCTACTAAAAATAGAAAAATTAGCTGGGTGTGGTAGCGCGCGCCTATAAACCCAGCTACTTGGGAGGCTGAGGTAGGGAGAATTGCTTGAACCTGG